CCCCAAAACCCCAAAACCCCAAAACCCCGTCAATCAGAATCAGCTTTAAAGATAATCAATTTAGAATTCTAATTAAAGTTATTCAGTTTAGTTAATGAGAAAGATTAATAGACACTCTTTATTTTTTTATATGAGTAGGAAATTCAATTAATTATTAAACTTAACATAAATAAAATCTTTTAAATACTGGCAAGTTACCTTTACAAAGTTCAGTCCAAAAGGATTAATACTTTCTGCCTGCAAAGAGGGCACTGATTCTTGGTTCTAAGCCAAGCACTTATGCATTTATTATGAAATATGTGCTGACTATTGCAATCTAGTTCTACTAATCCTGCTTTCCTTTTGTCCCTTTCGAAATTCTCTTTGGTGCTTTGAATAGTCTCACAGCATATTGCACATTAGATTTCTATATAACCATCCTTAATATACATCTGATTAATTTCTCTAGGAATTCTCTTTACTACTTCTTCAACTCCTTTCTTATTTTCTATTATTACTGAAGTTGATCCTATGCTGACCAATTCTATTTGCACTCCATTTACAATTTCTGCATTATTTATATTATTATTTTAGATGTCTTATCTTTACTGTTATCCAGATCCATCATGATGCTATACTTGCTGGATGTTATCAAATCTTTCAGTTCCATTATAAGGGTAGTTTTTTCCACTTATTTTATTAAAAATAAATACTACTGGTGTCATCAAAAGCATAGTTATTATCAAAATAACGAATCTTATCAAATAAATGAGGAAAATGTGCACGATAAAGCTTAGAGATATCAGAGTTGAGATTAGATAAAATTACTGAGAGATTGTTAAGCCTTGACCCTGTTTTGATCTATATTAATTTCCGATCGCGTATAAATTAAAGGTATTATATATAATAGCCACTACTAATACCATGCCATTGTAGCATCTGGCATTAACCTTGATGTAATTGTAGTATCTCCAATTCATTGAAAAGAGTAGAAACATTTTCTTTTGGAAGCTTGTCTTTGCGTATTATCTCTCATGTGTCACAAGAAAGGACTAATGAATCATATAAAATGTAGGCACACTTAGAAGCAGTGATAGGATATTGAATGCAAATGGATCAAATACTACAGATATAATCAGCAGTGATAAGCATAAAAATGGAAGAAAACAAAGTACAAGTACATCCAAAAATTATGTTTTCGTTCGCAATCTTTCGAAAAGAGTTGACATTATCCCAATAAAATATAATCTAATTATATCATAAAATTTTTTCTTCACAGCAATTAGGCTTATCTCTTCCTGTCGGGGTTTTGGGGTTTTGGGGCCTATTGAGTTAACTAATC